GTTTTTATAATAAAAAGTGAATTTGTTTCAATATTAAAAGTTAATTTATTTATGCTACAATAATATTTGAGAGTGTCCATAAATAAATGATATTGATATGCTTGGAGATGTATGCTTGGAGATGTTAAAGTGAATTTGTTTAAACTTTAAAAAAACTTCTTAAAATTGATTTGTTTAGAAAATTTCTAAAAATTTGAAACGGCAATGAAGATTTGGGATGTTGACATACAATTTCAAATTTTTGAAAATTTCAAATGGTTGAATAAGTGGCACTATATTGCGAAAAAAATTCAAAAATGTTTCTGTGTTTAGTTAATTTTTAGGCGGGATTTGAAATGATTTTTTAGTTACTATTTAAGTATTTTTTAAGTTGTCTCTTTATATAATAATAGATGATACAAGTAGAAAATGTTTTTAATAGAGCAAATTTTTACAAGTAAATCCAAAAATAGAAATTACAAACTGTAGAAATATTTTATTTTATTTCATTTTTTCAAAAAGAAAAAAAAAAATCTCTCTCTACGAAGCTGCCCGGAAGGTCATCAATGGTTCCAAAATAAATCTCTCTCCTCCATTAAAATCCCTCTCCCTTTCCTCTCTCCTTCACCTCACCAAAATCCCAACATTCTCTCTCTACACCACTCATTTTCATAATCCTCTCTCTCTCTTTCTCTCAATTTTCAATTTTCGGAAATTATGAAGCTCGCTCACAAATTGAGAAAACTCTTCATCTCCGGAAAATCCCGGTCATTCTCTTCCCGCACGACGTCGTTCTCCTCCTCCTCCTCCGACGGCGGCGACTGCTCCAAAAACCCCAACGGCGGGTCAACGCCGACGAGCGTCCTCCCGGAGATTCCCGCCGGCGTGTACGCCGAGCTGAGGCAGGCGTTCGAGATGATCGACCGGGACGGCGACGGGAAAGTGGCCAAGGAGGAGCTTGCGAGGCTGCTTTCCCGGCTTGGCGGCGCCGGCGACGGGCCGCCCGACCGGGAGGATGAGCTTAGGTCGGTGCTGGACGAGGTGGACAGGGACGGGGACGGCTGCGTCAGCTTGGAGGAGTTCTGCGCGTTCGGGTCAGCCTTCGCGCCGTCGGCCGCCGGGGACAGCGAGCTCAGGGAGGTGTTTGGTTTCTTCGACTCCGATCGGGACGGGAGGATCACGGCGGAGGAGCTGCTCCGCGTGTTTTGGACGATCGGGGACGCGCGGTGCACGTTAGAGGACTGCCGGCGCATGATAAGCGGGGCGGATAGGAACGGGGACGGGTT